GCCGCAGCGAACTAATCTCGAAAGGGATTACTAGCTTGAAAACCTGACTTCGCCGCGGTGAAAGCTTCCCGAGAGGAAACTCTCGCTAGCCCAGAAAACCTTCGCCGCGGCATCCCTCTAATTTCGCCGCAACCAAACCTTCCCAAAAAGACATTTCCCCCTGGAACTCCTAGTTCGCCGCGGCGAACAAACCCTGAGAGGGATTGTTCACCTATTCCTTCAACCTACCTCAATCCCAAGCCAAACACCAAGATCAAGGTTAAATCACTAATCTATCCTCAAAACCAACCAAAAAGAGGCTATTAAAACCCGATAAAACTTAGGACGTTACAGCTCCAAGCTCGAAAAAGATTAGTCCCAAGTTCAATGTGACTTGGGGATGCCCTTGTTTCACCTAATATATATATATATATATATATATATATATATATAAGCCTTTATATCTATGTAGAGGCCTATGTCTTGAAAGTGTAGAATCCATTCTCGCTTGCAATATAAGAGATTAGTGAGGAAAAGAAAAGAATGCATAATGACAATAATTATAGGAGCATGTAGAAATCAGAAAAATCAATCATCTATTCACTAAAATAAACTTACAATACTTGTTATGCTTTAGTAAATAATACAAATAAGGGGACAAGGAGTGAGTTGGCATTGCAGTCTTGAGTAATTAAAAAAAAAAAAAAGATGTAGAAGTGCACGACTGGTGAATGAAACTATGAAAGAGTTGATCTTATTTAAGAATGTTGTGATATACATGAAACCAATAAGCCAAAATTAGAAATTTTATATATAATTTATAAAATTGATTTAGAAAAAAGGAAAATAACATAAAAAGAAGTTGAAAATTACAATATTCCAATTTAGCCACCTAAGAGGTCAAAATTCCAATGGAGAAAGTGATGTCTGATTTGATATTTTGCAAATATAGTTAATAAAAAAAATGCTCTTGTATCAAAAAGTTTATTAACAAGTTGTGAACTGATAATAACCAATATTGAATAATAAATGACAAAAAATATACTGGCAATGACAAGTAATTGATTAATAAGTTGTGTATTGACAATGACAAGTGTTGAATAAGCAATGACAAGAAATATATTGGTAATGATAAATCTGGTAGCTTTTTTTCAAAAAATCAGATACAAGGGCATTTTAATCATTTGATTATATTTGCAAAATACCAAATCAGGCACATCTTCCTCTTTTGGGATTTTGAACTCTTAGTCACCTGAATTAGAATATTGCAATTTTAACTTCTTTTATGTCTTTTTTCCTTTAAAAAAAAGTGCTGATGAGAAAAAGTAGCAAGTGGATTTTATTCTCTCGCTTCTATTTTTCCCAAAAAAAAAAATGTATGAACGTTTATAAAGTTTCATTATATTTTGTTATACTACTTTTTCTCCAGCATATATTTTTGGACTTCTAAGTAGTACCCATTCCTTCATTTAAAACATCAATAAATTATACAGACCTTCTTTTCTTATGTTTAGCCAACCTTTATTTTCTTTTAACGAGATGTCTTTGAACATGTTAAAAATATAAGAAAATTTTGCATAATGTTTGACAAAATTTAAGTACTTTTAATAAAATTTAACACAAATATCAAGTTTCACTACAAAAAAAAAAACAGTCTATTAGTGACGGAATATTTTCCGTTACTAATTTCTGACGGAATTTCGACGGAAATTCCGTCAGTAATTTTTTCGACGGATTTGGGACGGATTTCCAACGAACTTTAGCAACGGAAAATATTCCATCGCTAATTCCGTCGCTAATTTCTACTCCTATTTTGTGATAGATTTTCTGACAGAATTTGTTTCCGTCGCAAAATTTTGTCACAAAATTCTACATTATGATTATAAAATTTAAAAAATTTATATAATATAATAGTGTAATTATTTAGACATGTATTTTAACAATTTATATATCTATACATATTTATAATATAATAGTTTAATTATTTATACATATTTTCTGTTGGGAAATAGAAGAAAATTGATATCCTTATTAGACACTTTTTTGAAATTGATTATATTTTTTTGAGCTTGTGAACTTAAATTAAAAAGCTGAATATAATTCGTAATATGATTTTATTTTCTTGTTACAATATGATTAATTTTTTTGTCAGATTGCTGCTCTTTCTTTCAACATTAGTGTAAAATAAGTGTCTTTAGATATGATAATATATGTGAAAAGTTTCTTTAGATATGATGAGATATGTGGAAAACGTAAAGACATGTTGAACTTTTACCTAATTGATAATTTATTTAACAACATATTGAAATATTATTTATTGACTTATTTTCATTGAATGAATAATAAGGGCGCCATAAACTATAGAGTTAAGTTGGAAACCTAATAACGAGGTCAATTTAGCTCAATTTGCATATACTTGATCTGTTCAAAAAAAGAAAGTTCAAAAGAAGTTTTGGCCAGGTTAGTTTAGATCCAAAAGCGAGTATGTTGGATTAGCTTCATTATTTGACTGAAGTACTCAACTGATGGCCCATGTTATTAAATATAATCTATAGTGTGTGTATCCTAATTCTCGTTTGCGACTTGGAGTAATAGTAAATGCTCATTTGATAATGAAATTATATATAAGAATATCTAAGATAAATAAGGGGATGGTAAAGTATAAAAAGAGAATCAATATCTTGAATTTCTAAAACAATAATTATAAATATTTTGAATTTCTTTTTAGTCATCCTGAAATTGAGAAATGATAATTAGAAAAGAAAATTAGAGATTATAGAGTAGATCTAAGACTATAATAAGAAAAATCTTATTAGATCTAAAAATATTTGATTAGAATATTATAAAAAGCTTGACAACTTTACTTAAAAAAAAATTTCATCCTGGTAACATATAAGTTAGAGATTCTACCCCTATCATTATAATCCTGTGGATTAAATTTAATTTGTAAATTTCATATTTAAATATATCTATATTTTATTGTCAAAGATTTCAAATATATTTGTATTAAATTTGATAAAAATATTTCGAATAAGCTGCGGTTTAAATCTTTATTATTGAAGTGTCTTATATTTATGTTTTTTATTTTAACATTATTATATTCTTTTTAATGCTTATTTCTTGATGTATCTTATATTTATACCACTATATATATGTATGATATTAGTTTAACATTATTGGACAGTATTTCTATATTATTATTACTATTTAGGTTTTGAGGTATGTATTAATTTTCTCTAATTACATGTTTAGATGGCAAAAATTGCTAGTAAAAAAAGGAGTGAAAGTTGAGAGGGAAGGTACTGAAAGATAGAGTGTGTGAGAGAGAGATGTGATATAATTAAAAGTGAGATAATATATGTGAGAGAGAGGTATTATAATTAAAAGGAATAATTTTAATAATTAATTTATCATTTTAATGCTAAGTATATGTTCTATAATAACAATTTTATTTTATAATTTTTTACTGAAGAAACATTTAATCAGATTTTAGTACTGGGAAAACGGGGCCGGGCCGGCCCGTTTAAGCCCGAGTTCCAAAAATAAGTAATTTTTTCAAGCCTGGCCCGTGAGATGACAGGCTCGGGCTAGCCCGCGGGCTTTTGGCCTTTTTAACTAAAATGAATTTTTTTTTATTTTTTTGTATATTTTATCAAAATAATAAAAATGAAACAATAAAATTACTAATAAAAGGTATAAATATAAATAAAATTGAGTTACAAATATAAACATTATCATGTCTAAACATATATTATAGTGTAATAAAGTCTATTGAATAAACAAACTAAATAGAGGACAGATATAAATAACTAAATAAGCATTAAGTTCAGTAGATAATTACAATGCGGATGATCTAGTTTGATTATAAATAATTAACAAAAAAGTTTAACTAACAAACATAGTATACATGAAGAATAATCATTTGTCATATCGACAAAAAAGAAAAGAGTCCATCTTCCTTAGTTCTAAATTTGTTTCTACTATAAAAATGATATAGATCTTTATTTTAGTTTAAAAGATTTTTTGATCAATTATATTTCAAGTATAAAAAATATGGGAGAATGACAAATAAAGACTATAAAAATTACACATATAGTATTTTAATAGGTTTTGACAACTTATTTAACACTATATTTTTGTGAATATACCTAGTTTTAAATTTTGCAATTTTCATATTTTTTTGGTTATTTTTCGCACAACTATAGTGATTCTTTTTTTCTTTTTGTGAATGCTATCTATGTGAGCTGCCAAGATAAGTAAAACTAAGAGTATTATATGTTTAAAATGTTAGGGTTTTCTTTTTTAAGTTAAGAAAAAAAGATAGAAATTTAAAAAAAATTGGCGGGCCTAAACGGGCCGGCCCGCGGCCCTACAGGGCCGGCCCGTTTATTTTTCGGCCCTACAGGGCTAGCCCTTTTAAGCCCGACTTCCCTTTCAAAACTCCAAAATACAAGCTCGGCCCTTGACTTAAACGGGCCGGCCCGACGGGCTCGGCCCGTTTTCCCGGCTCTAGATTTTATATCTATATGTGTGTGAAAAATCTTGCCCCTCCAAAATATTCGCATGTTCCCTCCGTTTGCAAAGGCAAAATTCATTTTCCCTCCACAAATATCACAAATTTGCTCTCTTTAGGATTTTTTTTTCTAATTTCCTTCTTTTAAAAAATTACAAGAATCGCAAGAGGAGGAGCCAGACCACTTCTAAGAGTTTCCTCAACGCCTAAGGGTTTATTTCTCTGATGAAACCCCTTCACCATCGTCTACCAGTCCAGCAAAGGCGCCTCCAATCCTCCACTCCTACTCTTCTTCCATTTCTCCTCCTCAGATCAAATCGTGCCTGAATGTGCAGGTTTTGAGACTCAGAGTGTCGGCCTTCCGTTCGCGTTGTTGTGTCCATTCACATTCTTTGGTCTCTTCTTCAAAGTTTAGATTCTATTCCGTTATGTCGGCCTCCTCTATTTTCATCGTTAGCGTTCAGATTTGTCACTAGGTAGCTTCTTGGCATTCTATTTCTTGTTTTCATCTTCTAGTTCATATTCCCTTTTAGATTTCATTTTATTTGTGGGTTACTTTTTATTTCAAGGTTCAGATCTCCCTTCTAGTTTTGTTGAAAATATTTCTACTGGTACTAAGTGACTGCCTTTTAGTACTGCCTTGACTAGTGACATTGCAGAGGATTAGCACTTCATTTGGTTGATTGGATTCTCTGCAATTCATTCTGGGAGATGGAAAATGAGGTACACATTTAGTTAAGCTTTAATGTATACTGGTCTTTGATATATATGCTTTTTTATTGGAGTTTTATATTCATTTTATCTTTATTGTTGTATACAAACATCTGTAATTCCCAACCCTTATTCGTAACTTCTGTAAATTGGGCCCTTTTGCTTTCATTTGCTTTTTTTGGTTATTCATTTTATATTTATTGTTGTATTATTGGAATTGGCTTCTATTTAAGAAAGCTCATTCTTCGAGCTATCACAGTACAAACATCTGATTGTGTTGTAGCTTCCATATTACATTCATCATAGTCGATGGATGAGTGTTGTGTAATGGTGATGGCACAAGCATTTGGTTGCTCTTGACGTAAAACTCATGAAATGAGAATGTTGCAAGTTAATCATGTGTAAAGCATCCTAGTTTGTTTATTTGCATTATAGATTCAATTACCTAACTAAAAAAATTCCCCCTCATGTAAAGCTGATATAGATTTCACTCTGATAGTTGCAATGTTTCAAGGTATCTGGTAACTTATCATGAGCCTGTCAGTGTAAAATATAAATGAAGAGTATTACCTGGATATGGCCAAAACATACTGGAATACTATTAATCTAGCAAGCAGATGATGTATTAGACTCATCATGATTTAAAAGAAATTAAAAATACTTGTAGCAGGGGAATCTTCATTGAGAACCTCATGGGGACCAGTATATCGATACTAACATGTATCAATTGAATTCCAACACTAAACTTATACTTTTACAAAATTCTTTCAATATGCATGCAGTTTCAACACTAAAAATTTAGCTCTTTAATTTATTATGGTTTATTAGCTTTAATGATTTCTAATTTTTTTCCTGATTGTATTATTAATTTTATATTTTTAGGATGTCATTTCATTAGGATGGTCAAAGATCCTATCAGATTAGAATCTGATTTTGAGTTATTACTACAGGCCTAGCCCCAACTATATGCATTGATCATTCCAAAGGAAATAAACAAGAGCTGAGATGTTAATCCTTCAGCAGATTACAACTTAAAAAGATTGCAAACATTTGATCCAAAATGCCTATAATTTCAGCCTCAAACATTATGGGCATTATTACATGAAACAGCAAAACAGTTTCCTACTGATTGAGCATTATATAACTATTATGCAGATTTACATCACTTTTGCAATGCCATAATTGGGCAAATACATGTAAAATCTGTCATTACATGAGATACTTGGTTGCTTAGAATATTAAGGGACTTATGATGTACGTATATATTATCTATGTATAGAGTTACCAATTATTGAAATGCTTAGTTGCTTATGCTTGATTTATATTATATTTACCAATTATTGAAATGCTTGGTTGCTTGGTGAATGCTTTTTTTTTTTTTTTCTGGTTTTAATTTGTTGACCTGATTGTGTGTGCAGGGTTGGATTATAATAATTTGAGATGCAGCAGCTCCTTTGATAGAGTTAGCTAGAGGTCTAGTGGCAACCCAAACACAAGTTGTAGAACTATTCAAGTAAGGTGACCATTTAACTGTTAGTTGGGTTGACGTATAATGTTTTGTTTTTTCTATCTAGCTTGATATATGTTGTTTGATTGTTGTTGGTAGGTAGTCTCAATACATTCCTATCTCTTACATTTTTCAGAATCTTTTTCAGTTTTTTTTTGGTACTTCAAAGCTATATGTTAATGATTGTTTAGCAAGTCTTGTCTTTGGTAAGAGTTGTCCTTAAATAAAACTTGTTAGTTTCTTCATATACAAATGTTGACATTTAACTTTGCTTATTCATATATATATGTGTGTGTGTGTATTTGTTTGCCATATGTATTACTTGTCTTCTCCAATTCTTACATATTACTATTGCACACCTCTTTCTTAGAATGAAACAAACGTAGAAGCATTTCAAGCAGATGGATTAGAAGTCATACTACCAATAATTGTTCATGATGATGAATTAAATAATGAAAGAGACTTTGAAATTCACTATGAAGAAGTAGATATGTTGATTGATAACATGGTTTATGATGATGATGATGATGATGATGATGATCAAGATGATGAAGAAATAGAAGATGGTGAGGAAGATTCTTATATGGATGAAGATGAAGAGGAAGATGATGCATAAATTATGGTTGTGACATTGCATTTGTTATTTAGTTTTCAGTTTGATTGATTGCATTTGTTATTTAGTTTTCAGTTTGATTGATTGCATTAAGTTCTTATTTATTTTTCATTTAGATTAGATTATAATTCTGTTAATTTCTAAAGAAGATTTAGTTCTTATTGATTTAGTTTTTATTCATTTATTTAATTTTGAATATGCAGAATATATATTCTGATTTATAATACATCATTCAAACTTTGTTAAATGGAATCTTGTTTTTAACCTTAATGTTCTTAAATTTATGACATTTCATTGTATGGGATTATTTTTAAATTCCAAATTGTTTCTTATAAAAAAAATTGAACTATTTGCAGTTTATAAACTTTACTTATTATAATGAAATTTATTTCTTTCTAAACAATTTATAAAAAAAACCTATTTAAAAAAATAACTGACAAAATTTTGTTGCAAATCAAAAAATAAGCATAAAAATTGAAGAAAAAAATTTGCACCTGATTTGCGACGGAATTTCCATTGCAAATGTGTGTGAGTTAGCGACGGAAAATTCCGTCGCAAAATATAGCAAGTTAGCGACGGAATTTTCCGTCGCTAAATGCGGTACTTTGCGACGGAATATTTTGTCGCTAATCCTACTTTATTTGCCACGGAATTTGTGACAGAATATTCCGTCGCAAAGTACCGCATTTAGCGACGGAAAATCCGTCACAAATCCGTCGTAAAATTAGCGACGGAATACAATGTCCACTGCTAAACCAATTAGTGACGAGGCTATTTGCGGCAGAACATTTTCCGTCGCTAATACTTTACCAATGGAATTCCGTCGCAAATCGATTTAGCGACGGAATTTCCGTCCCTAATTTCCGTTGCTAATAGTTTGTTTTTTTTGTAGTGTTTCTCTATTGAATAGAAAGGTGCATTCAATATTCTGATCTTATTTTTCATATACATCTAATATTCTGATCTTTTATATGGTGCATTTAGTACCAGATCTTATTTTCTCGGAACATCCAGCATCTTGATATTATTTTTTTTACTTACATTGAGCATCTTAATCTTTGGGGCACTAAATGTACTGAAAATAAACCTAGGGTTCTAAATGCGCCCAAAAATTTATATCAAAGTGCCAACGCACCATATAAAAGATCAAGGTGTTATACACCTTTACCGTTCTTTTTTTCAAAAGGTACTAAGAAACGAATCTTATAAATTAAATGTTCTGATGCGAATATTAAAACAACGAGTGGCTTTGATATGTTCTTTTATTATTGTTGTACTTAAAAAGGAATACGAATCAAGTATTCTTAATGGATCCTTTATTATTATTCTCCATTTAATTTAATTTGCTTCAACTATTATTCAAATATCTATCCAGTCCCACCAACACCTGCAATATCTACTTTGTGTTTTATATGCTTCAATAAATTAAAACATTGCAATATAGAAAATATATTTGGCACCAGGTTTACCGGTTTGATTTGATTCAATCCCATTCATTTTACTTTTTATGTAATATAATTAGCCAGTAGGGGTCTCATATATGCTACCGAAAGTACGAAAAATAAAGCCGAATCGTACATAACTTTCCTAAATTTTATATAGGATTAAGGGTCATTTTGTTAGCTTCGCAGGTATTCGATAATGACCTGCGGGTATTAAGAAAAAAGAATTTTGGAATCAAAATCACCTTCAAAATATATATATAAAAAAAAAAGGGAGTAATGTGACTCTTGTGGTTAGAAGATATTAACAGTTAACATTAATTTTTTAACGATTAATCTTAGTCCTTTAATAACAACTGTTTTGTGAATGCTTTTTTGAGTAAAAATGACCCTTTATCATTTTATACATGTAATGTATAGGTAACCTTTTGAAACTTCATAATTAATCTCACTAAACTTACATTTATGCTTATAACTCTCCTGCAAATACCTAAACAATTACTTTTTTTGGGCCAAATTCTAAACATTCTTAACCTTTAAATTTTTTTTTATTGAGTGTTTACATTTTTCTCAATTACGGGCACTACCCATGTTCATAATTTATTAAAAAAGATATTTTTAAAAATAAAATGATGGAAAAATTTATTTATCATCAACATAAAAATAAAAAAATGTTATGCTCATAATTATTTCCTGGTATCTATGTAATGCATAATTTGATTGATTTTGATTTTATCTACACCCATGTGGGAAAATTAAAAATAAGGTAAAATTATATAAAAATGTGTATTAATTTTCTCAAAAATATTACTACATCTTTACGGATGAAGGAGTTGATAAAGAATCTTCGATATATATATATATATATATATTGTGACCGTGGACATGGGACAACAACTAAAATAGTAATTTGTAAGTATAAAGCTAAAACAAAAAAAAGAAATATTTAAGTATAGCTATTATTATATATTTATTTCAATTTCAAGACCACAGAAAAGGTTATAATTAAAGTGAGCATATTCCTAATCTTCAAAGAGATTATTATTTGTTATTCTTTTTTCTTTGATTGAGTGGCACAAAATTGCTCTCTTTCAAGTGATAGTTTCAATATTTGCATATATTCTTCAAGCCTAGTTACTATTAAGCCAAATATTCTTTCAACCAAACAAGTTAATTTAATTAGGCCAAATGATTGGCCAAAACAAATTTAGGCCAAATTAATTAAATATATCTTTCCGAGCTTTATATTTTACGTTATACGTATAACTTACCTCGTTAAGTTTTGAACCTTTACAATTAATCGTCCTAAACTCTTATATTCGTCAGATAATTTCTTTGTTAGCTAGTAGTTTTATTAGCTACTTATTACACACATATTAAAGTTCAGGGAGCTTATATGAATATAACTTAATGCTTAAATGGGTTGTATTCTCATATGAATATAATTTAAGGGGTATACAATTGATGGTTGGGGTTTATCCATGCAGAGTCATAAGTTTAAATTGGTTCGCTATTAATTTTTAAATGTTAAGAATGTTATTTGTATTTTGGCCAAAAAAAAGAATGTTATTTGTAAATGGTTCAAAGTTTTGCCATTTTAACATTTAATGAACAGTAGGTGAGATGATTGACAGAAAAGATGGTGAATGAACGCTCATAATTGGTTCGGCAGAAAGGTATATAAAGTGGAACAATTCCAATTGATGGATAGACCTAATTAATTGAGTGAATTAAATCAAAATAAAAAGTCAACATTAAATTGAGATATTCTGGGTCAACAACAGTGTTCGGTAATCTAACATATTTCTTATCTTTATCAATTTTTTTCTTAATTTATTCCTATCAAATAATTAAATACCACAATAATACTTATTACTCATTAATAATATACTTATATATTTTATAAAGTGAGTGAGTACTTAGTAATCATTAATTTCACACATACATCAATTCTACCGTTTTATATTTTTTATAAAATAATTTAAAATATTTTTTGAAATGTCAGTATTAATTAAAAGATTTCAATTACCTAACACTATTGTCGACCCAGAATATCTCAATTTAATTTTGACTTTTTTATTTTGATTTAATTCACTCAATTAATTAGGTCCATTCATCAATTGGAATTGTTCCATTTTATGTACCTTTCTGCCGAACCAATTATGAATGTTCCTTCACCATCTTTTCTGTGAATTATCTCACCTAATATTCATTAAATGTTAAAATTGCACACAATATCTCGAAACTTTGAACCATTCACAAATAACATTCTTAACCTTTAAAAAATTAGTAACGAACCCATTTAAACTTATGACTCTGCATGGATAAACCCCAACCATCAATTATATACCCTTAAATTATATTTACATGAGAATACGTCCTATTTAAGCTTTAAATTATATTCATACAAGCTCCCCTGAACTTTCATATATGTATAATAAGTAGCAAATAAAACTGCTAGCTACCAAAGAAATTATCTGACGATTATAAGAGTTTAGGACGATTAATTGTAAAGTTTCAAAACTTAATGAGGTAAGTTATACGTGTAACATAAAATATAAAGCTCGGAAAGATATATTTAATTTGGCCTAAATTTGTTTTGGCCGATCATTTGGCCTAATTAAATTAACTTGTTTGGTTGAAAGAATATTTGGCTTAATAGTAACTTGGCTTGAAGAATATATGCAAATATTGAAACTATCACTTGAAAGAGAGTAGTTTTGTGCCACTCAATCAAAGAAAAAAGAATAACCAATAATAGTCTCTTTGAAGATTAGGAATATGCTCACTATAATTATAACCTTTTCTGTGGTCTTGAAATTGAAATAAATATATAATAATAGCTATGCTTATAGATTTCTTTTTTTGTTTTAGCGTTATACTTACAAATTTCTATTTTAGTTGTTTTCCACGGTCACAATATGTGTATATATATATATATATATATTGAAGATTCTTTATCAACTGTTTCATCCGTAAAGATGCAGTAATATTTTTGAGAAAATTAATACGCAATTTTATATAATTTTACCTTATTTTTAATTTTCCCACATGGGTGTAAATAAAATCAAAATCAATCAAATTATGCATTACATAGATGCAAGGAAACAATTATGAGCATAACATTTTTTTTTTAATGTTGATGATAAATAAATTTTTCCATCATTCAATTTTTAAAAATATCTTTTTTAATAAAGTATGAATATGGGTAGTGCCCGTAATTGAGAAAAATGTAAACACTCAATAAAAAGATAAAAAAAAAAATACATGAATTTGAATAGAAATTAAGTGAATTCATGATGACTAATGCATTATTTTTTTCCTAATATTTTAAACAAATTGGTATAAAAATATTCTTAACAAAACAATGCCACTATATGACGCTTCAATTTCATCTAATCCACCTCGTATTTTTAATTTCATATAACCGTAGCAAGAAAGTTGAAGCTTTCTGTATACTCATTTGATTTCATACAATGA